TTTTAAGGCCTCTGAATTGAAATATCGTAATTTTTAATTTTTTTTATGTCATTTCTCTTTTTTTAAATTGTCTGTGTATTTTGCCTTTTAATATTGAACGCTTTGAAGCTATGCGTTTCAATCCTTCATACAAAGCCCTAACGTTCTGCCTCTGCTCAGCCTCCACGCAGTCGCGGACCGCCTTCGCTCATACATAGAACTTGTTCCGTCGCGTCTTGGGTGTTTGTTCTCACTGTTTGGAAGCTCATTTGCTGCCTCGCCTCTCTTAGACGTCTTCTCTTCTCTTATAGTAAGGTTCGTACTTCGTAGCTGGTCTCGTTCTTGCTCTTCTCTTTCTTTCTTCTCTTTTCTTGGCCAAATCGTGCTGTTTGCTGGAACACCTTGTGTTGGAGAAGAAGGAAGAATAGCTGACAGTCATCAATACATTTGAATTAACCACAGTATCTTTTGGTAAGAAACTAAAATGTTTACTTGCTCAACCAGGCGATCGCCGAGTCAGTTCAATAATCTACAATGACTCGCAGCCTAAAGAATCCCAAGAAAGCTAAGAGGAAGAACAAGGTTTAGTCCTGTGGATTATTATTCAATTCTCTTCAAAAAATCTTTTTTTTTCCCCTTTTGAGAGTTGGCTGAAGTATTTGGTTCTGGGATTAAAATTCAGGGCTCGAAGAAAGGGGATGGGTCTTCATCTTCTTCGATACCTTCTGCTCCCACTAAGGTTTGGCAACCGGGTGTGGACAAGCTGGAGGAAGGAGAAGAGCTCCAGTGCGATCCTTCTGCTTACAATTCTCTTCATGGCTTCCACATTGGATGGCCCTGTTTGAGGTAACATACGGTTTTCTGTTATTATTTTTTCTTCTCTCTTTTCCTATTTTCTTTGTTTCACGAGTTGAGTGAAGAAAAAAATTTAGGCCTATTGTGGGATTGTTATTTGTATGGTTATTGCTACTCACTTTCTCATCCCCGAAGAATTTTGCCTCATTTCTCTTTTACGGATGCGAATTAGGTAGGACCTTGTGTTACCTTTGTAATGGAATTATGTTTTCGAACTTCTATTATATTCACGATAGGGTGGAATGAGCTATTGCTTAGCTTTTAGAACCTGGGATATGTGGATTTACATAGATGTCCTTTTCCATCATGTGTTGACATTCAAAATGAGATTCTTGGTGACCATGTCCTGGGCCTTTATTTTAAATTCTCCTTATTGATGTACTGCATTATTTATTTATTTATTTATTTATTTTTGACAGCTTTGACATTGTTCGTGATACTCTGGGCTTAGTTCGGACTGAATTTCCTCATACCGTCTATTTCATGGCAGGGACTCAGGTGAGCTTTACTTTATAGATTTGTGAGATGAAGATTTTATTTTGAGTTATGACCAACTTCACGGCACTTGTGCATTCTTCACTTTCTGTTGGATTAGTTTGTGGGAGTATTAGTTGTGATAGTGAACAAGTTGATTTCATATTTCACAATTTTTATTTTTTTTTAATTGGGGTGCCATGCACTCAAAGGAGTTTATTGTGTAATGTATGTAATTACTAGTAATGAACAAAATAAGGCCAAGTTCTCCCTTTCATCCTCTTCATTTATATTTTTATGTTTCGTTTTTCACATTTTTGACATTATCCTGTTGATATGATGGTGCTTGTGCAGGCAGAGAAAGCTTCTTGGAATTCTATTGGGATTTTTAAAGTATCAAATATCTCTGGTAAAAGACGTGAACTGGTGCCTAAAACTGCAACTGATGACGCTGAAATGGATAGTGACAATAGTGATAGTGAGGATGACAGTGATGATGAAGATCCTGATAGTTCTAGGTCTCCCATTTTGCAGGCAATGTCTTGTAAATTGGACTTTGTTATACTTCAGTCCCTTGCTGTTCGAACATAAATAACATTTTTCATTTATCCTTTTCAATTTTATATTACAGTTGCGGAAGGTATCTCATGAAGGATGTATCAACCGCATACGCTCCATGACTCAAAATCCTCATATATGTGCAGCATGGGCAGATACTGGCTATGCACAGGTTATATTTTCTAACCGTTTAACCCATTTTTCAGTTTATGGTTTGATATCATAGATTAATGTAACTTGTTTCATGGAGTTTGATACTTAACAGTTTATGTGTAGAATACTGTTAGGACGTAAGGACACTATGCCTTTGGAATGGTAAATTATGTTCTTGCTACTTATTATTTCTTATTTGTGGCGCTGGCTAGGAGCAAACCTTGTATTTACCATATTATCATTTTGATACTGTGTCGACTATGCCTAAATTAGATTCGAGATGACTGTTATCAGCATTTGGAACAACACGATATGATAATTTGACTAAATACACTCTATTGGCTTGTTGGGTGGTTCTTGACTCAATTAGAAAAATTCCTTTTGGTTGTTTCTGCTTCTCCAATTTTGCTCCCATTCTTTCTGCTATAAGTTTTATTGGGATGTAACCCCTTAAGCGTGGACTCATCACTTTCGGTTTGCATATGGTCTTACACTTGAGTGGTGAATCTGTAGATCTGGGACTTCAAATCTCATCTCAATGCTCTAGCAGAATCAGAAACAGAAGGCGCCCAAGGAGCAGCTTCAGTTTTTAATCAGGATCCGCTGGCTAAGTTTAAGCATGGAGATGAAGGATATGCCATAGACTGGAGTCCTGTTGATCCTGGAATGCTTGCATCTGGTAATCTTAGCTTGCCCTTGGTTTAGCTTAATTTAGTCCATCATTTTCTTCTCTCTCTCTCTCTCTCCCCCCCTCTCTCTAATTAGCTCGGCAATATGAAATAGTTTCCTGCTCAAGATTTAATCATCCTCTTCATTTTAAGGGGATTGCAAGAATTGTATATACCTGTGGAAGCCTACGTCTGCTGCAACCTGGAATGTTGACAAAATGAATATTGCGCACAAAGCAAGTGTCGAAGATCTACAGGTGAGCACTTATAGCACAAAGCATCATGAGCTCTGTCTTTAGAGTATATCCATTAAAGCAGGTTTTTTTTTTTTTTTTAACTCTGTTAAATATTTTTAAAAATTTTATTCATCTTTGCAGTGGAGCCCTACAGAACCTAATGTTTTTGCTTCTTGTTCTGTTGATGGAAGTATTGCAATATGGGATACCCGTCTGGGGAAGTCACCGGTAACATCTTTTAAAGCTCACAATGCAGATGTTAATGTTATGTCATGGAACAGGTATGCAAAAATTAATGTGATGATGATCCCTGAACTTTATTGCATTTCTAGGTCTCATGCTTGCTCTGTAATAAATTCTACCGTGTAGGCTGGCCAGTTGCATGTTGGCCTCTGGGAGTGATGATGGGACATTTTCTATTCGTGATCTTAGATTGCTCAAGGTATGTGGTATTGGAGATTTCCTTGTAATCATTTAGGAAAGAAAATATTCAGTGTTTTATTTGTTTTTCGTTTATAAAAAAGCAAGAAAGAAAAATCAACGCTGATGTTAATTTGTATTGATTGGTGAGTAGGATGGAGATTCTGTGGTAGCACATTTTGAATACCATAAGCATCCAATCACATCCATTGAGTGGAGCCCACATGAAGCTTCTTCTTTGGCTGTTTCATCGTCTGATAATCAGCTAACGTAAGTAATATGATATTGATAACATGTTCTTCCTTGACGTTTCAAACAGACTTCGGCATGTCGATAAGCTTGTTTTAAATGTATACATTTGGGGTTCTAAAAATGCTGCATTGGCTTCAACCGCAGAATATGGGACCTTTCCTTAGAAAAGGACGAGGAAGAAGAAGCTGAATTTAAAGCTCAAACCAAGGAACAAGTGAAGGCCCCTGAAGATCTGCCTCCTCAACTTTTATTTATTCACCAGGTAGGTTATTAGATATTTCCAGGTCTCAATATCGGTATCAATGAGAATATCAATGTAAGATATAATGTTTATGATAAGTTACAATATTTCCAAGTCATAAGCAGTATGTTTTATTTATTAAATTCTGTAACATGCGAATAAAAACGTGTCTATTTCATTTTCATGGTAGACCTCCCTCCTGATTTATTTGTGTTGACTTGAAACAGGGACAGAAGGACCTTAAAGAACTACACTGGCATAATCAGATTCCTGGAATGATTGTGTCTACTGCAGCAGATGGATTTAACATTCTCATGCCTTCAAATATTCAGACAACTTTGCCATCCGAGGGAGCTTGATACCTGGTCATTGGTAGGGATATTTCCTGCAAGATCATGGCACCTATCTGGTGCAACAATTTTTGGTGTAAATTCCACAAAGTGATGCTGCAACACGATCCAGAACTGGCTATGCTTCATTGTTTTTCTGTTGTGTTCTGTGAAGGATGTATGGATTGATAAGGAATTTGATATTAATCAAATGTACCTGAATTTTGGATTTGAGATATATTTAAACAAAGCTGATTTTGGGTCGATTGGAGCAGAACCTATGCCGCTTAGTTATTTATTCTTTCCGTTCTTCAAAACAATAAATTATGCCATGAAGGCACCCAAAAAAAGGTGATAATAAAGGTCTTGGCAAAGGAGCACGCTGCCGCCCCATCTAGATCTCCTCTTCCTTAGTTCAGGAAGCCGAGAGGAGGCATTTCATCTTCTACAGTACTTTCGCCCTCCAAATATTACGCAATGTGTTGTTGCGTTCCCCGGCAACAACTTGTAGATAAAAATAAATATGATTAACGTGTTTAATATGAGCAATTGTTGTAAGTGTTTTTAGGTCGCAAAACAGCTTTGCTTTGTAAGAACAGAGTATAATTACCAGTGCATTACTAAGCTCTGCAACATTTGCGAGAAAAGATCTAGACCTTTTCTTATTTCGTCCAAAATTTCATAAACGTTGAGAATTTAAGCTGATTATCGGGCATATACTTGTACGAATCGGTCTCATTCCTCCCTGAGATTCTCTATTTGCTCATCAACTTTGCACCCTGCTTCTGATCAGATGTACTTCTTTTTCTTGTTCTTGTCCCTGTCCTTGTACAAGTTATGGGACATGACTGGTCCAAAAGAAAAGCCTCCAGACAGGTCGTTGCTTGTTGCCACGCTTGCCATTTTTGCCCTTCAGTTTCGGCACCTTCACCTTCAGTCTCACCCTTCCTCTTCCTTCTGTCTTCTCCGTCTGCTTTATGCTTAACATGTTCCACATCACCTCCACGTCTCTGTACCCACACATTTCCACTTCATCTCTCAGCTTCACCAACCCTCCATCTCCGCCGCTTCCTCTGCCACAGCCACCACCTGCGTTGTTAAATGCCACGTCAAAAACAGAGCATATATCCCCTCAAACGCACCTCAGTCAATCACCACTTGAAACTACTAGAAGAGAAAGAAAAAGGCCAAAGAAGGAGGAAGAAACTGGAAAGTTACGAATTTTAGGAGATCCCACCAACAGATTTGCCAAGTTTGAGCAGAGCAGGGACCAGGCCCCAAGTTCTTCTCAGCTTATGCCACCAATCCATGCTGTTCACAAAAATAAGAATGATGATAGAAGAAGAAGAAGAAGAAAATGTAAAGGAGAGAGGAGAGAGGGAGGCACCGAAGATGATACACGTGGTAAGCAGGTGAATCGGCATTGTGCTGACGCTGTCTGAGTGTGTGTGTGTGTGTGTGAGAAGTTCTGGAAGGTAATGGGATCTGATCTGACTCGGTTTGGGTTTGGCTTTTTCTGGAAGTTACAACTTACAAGACACAGGATGAAGCAGAGGAGCTCAGAATAGGGAAATGATTGTTAAAAAGTGGGTTTTGATTCGGCTACTCTTGTCACTTTCATATGTTTCTGTGTCTCATAGCGGTGACTGAATTTTTTTCCCCATCAAAGCGGTGACTGAATCTTCAACAATGCTCTTTTGTAATGCTGCACGTTTCTGCACTGCGACATTGTCATAAGAGAAAGTAATAAATAACTAAATAAGTACTACTTCTGATTTTAAATATAAGAGTTAGTTAGTTAATTTAAAGAGATTAACGAAATACTACCTCTAGTTCTTGATATAAAACCTTATTTGAATTTTATTTTGGTCTTAAATATAAGATCACAATCCATTTTGTCTCTCATATTTATATATTTTTTCTCAAGGTAGTCATTCTAACAATGATAGTTCTAGCTAATATATTTAATTAGCAAGAACATTTTAGAAAAGACAATATCTAGTTATTATAAATACTAACTTAACTTTTTTCTTTAATCTCATCAAATTAGTCAACTAGCTTTAGGACCGGAGGTAATATGTTGAGCTAATTATTTGTAATAAATATGTGTTATTTTTCCTAAAATATCCTTACTATAAAATATATAGGGTAGAACTATTATTATTAGAAAGATTATTTTGAAAAAAAATATAAATACGAGAGACAAATTGGATTAGGGTCTTATATTTAGCATTAAAATAAAAATTAAACGAGGTCTCATATTAAGGACCTAGTATATAACTTGGTGTAATGTTTTTTTTTTTTAAAAAAAAAAAAGAGAGAGTGTATTAAAAGAGTGCAGAGGTTTATAATGTGAAATGGTAGGATGGAAGAGGATTAAGAAGGGGATTCACATAATTTTGATGGAGCCAATGGCACCGTGAATTATTTATTCCCCCATTTGAGCCCTTTTTTTTGACTCTCCATGGAGCATCCTGTATTCAGAATCTACCTCATTTTAACTCAAAGGAAGATCCATAATAAAGCTAGCAAAACCCCCTTATTACAAGTTGAATCAAGTGCTCAGTTTGAATTTCAAATCTAGTTGGGTGTTCATGAGTGGCTGGAGGTGACTGTTTGGTGATCATTCTTGTTAAAAGGGTGTTCTTTAATCAAAAAGTTGACAAGTATTTTGATGTTTTCATATATAGTAAATACATGTTAAATTAAAAATTATAGTAAATATGTAATTTTACTCATGATCTTAATTCTCAATGCACTCAGCACCTGATTTTTTTAATGGCCTAATTTTATCCATGATCTTATTTTTTCAAATATACCCAAAAACAAAATCATAGATAAAATTATACCACTATAAAAATGGAATGTTAGATGCACTTAAAAAATAAGATTAAAAGCAGTTTCACTTAAGTCCCATAGAAGACCATATTGCCTTTGATATTTGAAAAGAAGAAAGGGGTCCTAGTGGGCATAATCATCATGTTTGTTCATGTCTGCATGTTCTTAGTTCAAATAATAAAAAAATAACAACTCGAAGTACAAAAATTTATAAATCAATTTATAAGCACTTAGATAAGTTGCACTCGGGATACAAATTTTAAAATTAAGGAATAGAAAAATAATAATTCTACATATAAAAATTTACAACTCAAGTTACAAGTATTTAAGTTGAGGATACAAATTTTAACAACAAAGAATAAAAAAAATAACAATTTTACATATAAAAATTTACAATAAACAATAGGAAAATAACAATTCAACATATACAAATTTACAATAACAATGAAAAAAATAACAAATCTACATATTACAAGTGCTCTTGTAAATTAGAAATGGGAATATAAATTTTAACAATAAAGAATAGAAAAATAACAACTTTGCATATAACAATTTACAATTCAATTTTTAAGTACTCAAGTAAGGTACAAGTAAGAATAGAAATTTTAACAATAAAGAATAGAAAAATAACAATTTTACATATGAAAATTTACAATAAAAAATAACAACATAACGTACAACTTTACATACAAAAATTTACAACTTAATTTAGAAGTAGGAAGATATTTTTCTTAATACTAAAATTGTCATGGACAATTATCTACCATGAACAATCCAATTGCGATGTTTTTTTTTTTTGAAGTTTTTTCCCTGTCTTACCAACATATTCATAGTGATCTGTGCTACTCTAATACTATCTCTTATTCTAAATATAATAGCTAGTTAACTAATTTGAGGAGATCAAGGAAATAAGTTAGATTAGTTATTTGTAATAAATAGGTGTTGTCTTTCCTAAAATATCTTTACTAATCAAGTGTGTTGGTTAGAACTACCATTATTAGAATGATTATCTTAGAAAAAAATGCACAAATATTAGAGATAAAATATATTGAGATTTTTTATTTATAACCAAGATAAAAGTCAAACAAAATCTTATATTAAGAACCGGAGGTGAACAAGATATAATAATGCCCGTTTAACATGAGTACGTACTTTATATCAAACCTACCACTTTCATGTCACAGATTTGTTGCTACAAGACTCAATTCTTTATATGTTATTCATTTTATTATCAATCTTTTAATTATAATCTCATCTTCATATATTATTTTCCTATATAAAGTATTCACATATATATTCTTCTTATACGAGAGATGCAAAATAGTTGCTTTTCATAACTGTTAGTCATATACCATGCTTCTTTATGATTCATAATTATGTAAATCTCAATTCCTTAGCAAAATTGAAACAATTTATAAATTTAAAACTATCGTTAGCATATTTACAATTAGCATTTTCACAACACATTATGGACAAGTCATTTTAATATCATCAATACCCACTACCTTCACCCATTCATCAAACTAGTAACCAGATAAATTTCTGAACCGCTAGTGCTATGCCATGCGTCTCAGCACTTCACTATTATGTGAATTTCAATTACTTAGCAAAGCTTAAATAAACTATCAATTTACAACTACAATCAGCATATTCACAACATAAAATTGGTATTTCACAACTTAAATTCTGAATAAGTTAGCTTAATACCCATCAATATCTGCCATCTCCGCCAATTTGTTCAGCCTATAGAAACCAGATAATACATTGTAAAATAACTCATGCCTTCTAGGCTTCCACGCCCATATCCACACACTATCTACCTATCACAAGCTGCAACTCTTTAACAATTAAGATGGAGAAGAAGGAGCCTTCTAAAACCCAGGTTTAGAATTTACCTAAACCACAACGCGATTTCCTATTGATCGCAGAGCTCAACCACATCGCCACTGGAGTTCCAACATTGATGCGATTTTAGACTAAATACAACACTCTAATTTATATTCCTCGGGCTCTTAATATAAGACCTATTTAACTAATTTGATTAGATTAAGAAAATTAGATAAGTTAGTTAATTATAAAAAATATGACATGTTTTTTCTAAAATACCATAATCATCTTTCTTAATATTCTCCTTCCTTTACTTACTTGATTATGGTTGAGGGAGTATTCATAAGGCTAATTTTAAAAAAAAATTAATAAATATGAACAATATATTTTATATTTAAGACCAAAATTAACGTAATAATTAGATCTTATATTAAAGATTAGAGGAGTATTGGCTTAAATGATTGCGGAACGAGAATCATGAGCCACCATATCATTCACCATCGCATCAAGTTGGAGAAATGGCAGGGTGTACGTCGAGTTGTATTTCGCGCCCTAACGCTTCTTCTTTTGTCTCCTCCCTTCTCTCTTTCAATTAAGGGCACTTCTGTCAAAAGGCTCATCAAATTGGTTTTATTATTGGATAAAGAGACTGATTTGAAATTTCAAAATCTTTTGGTCCTTACCTGAAATTCCCCCCCCCAAAAAAAAGCCCTTGATCCGAAACGGGCCATCATGAAAAATAAACTGTGTAGATAAAATTTCATTTTGTGTCTCACATCACATCATAGGCCTAATCTGAGGTGGGGCCCAGTGCTCCAAAATGTAAACCCCTTTTGACACCTTGCTTCTCACGTTTGCTCTAACTTCACCAGCTTGCCACTGATTCTACTTCTTGGAATCTGATTTTCATGGATGTCCTTTTCTACCCCTATCATAATTCAAACTTTCACATCGGAAAATTAACACCATTTGATGAGCTACTTCTTATTTAAACGTGAAAGTATAGTCTCTTAATTTTAAAAAATATATTTTTAATTTTTTAGCTCTAAAATTATTAATATTAAATGATAATTTTTTTATAATAATTATGATTTTTTTAAAATTAAACTTAATATTAATATTTGAGAATATTTTATTAACATTCATAATATCAATATCATTATTTTTTAATAATTTTAGAATTAAAGAAATAAAATATATTTGTTTAAATTAAAAAATCAAATTAAAATTTTATATAAAATTAAAAGATTAAAAATATACTTTAGCTTACTTGAAATCACTAAGATCATATACTTAATTTTTAGTAGGAAGCTTCCGTAAGCAACCTTCTTTATTTACAAGCCATGCTCAATCAATACTTCTTTATCCTTAGAGAGAAAATAATTAATTTCGATTAAGTTACTCTAAAAAACTTTGTATTATTTAAATCCTCTAAATGATACAATTTATTAGAATAGTATTACTTTTTGAGGGCATGAGATGAGAGATTTCAATGTATCATAAAGTCATAAACCTGGCCTTCATGTCTAATACTAACTCTGGTATCTAATATAACAGCTAGTTGACTAATTTAAATAGATTAAGAAAATTAGTTAACTTAGTTATTTGTAATAAATATGTGTTGTCTTTCTTAAAATGTCCTTACTAATTAAGTGTATTATCTAGAATTTTCATTATTATAAAGACTATCTTGAAAATAAATAAATAAATATAAAAATAAAGTAGGTTGTAGTCTTATATTTAATATCAAAGTAAAAATCAAACAAGTTTTTATATTAAAGACCTGAAGTAGTATTATGCAGGTTTTTCTATGAGTTCTAGAATCACTTCAACCATAATACCAATTCAAAAGTGTCCAAAAAAATAGACTGCAAAATAATTTAGACGAAGTCAAAAAAAAAAAAAAGGGTTCAATACGTGGGCAAACTCAACCAATCTATATGATTACCTTTTAACAAAGAAATTATTACTAATTGACAACAATTTTGTTTTGATTCATTTCTGTAGTTTACTTTTTTGTTTTCTCTTCAAAGATCTCGGTTTTCGCGTTTTGACCATTTCAAGAACACCAAGGACAAGCGCTGGCCAAAAAAAAAACAGAGAGAGAAGACCAAGGACAAGAAGTCAAAATCTATTAAATACGATAATCCAAATTCTATTTGATTCTAGAATGATGGTTCTATTAAATAGCAAATTTATAATAATAAACCAAATTAAAACAAAATATCAGTTTAATTTTAACCTGCAAAAAGGTTCAGGTGGAACGAGTTGAGATATAATTACAAGTACTTGAAAGAAGAATTTATGCACGTAAATATCCAACTAATTGTATAAAAATGTCATAATTAATCATTTGCATACTTCTTCAAAAGACACTACTCCCTCCGAAAATATATATTTATATATATAAAGAAATGAGATAGACTCTACCCAAAAAAAGATAATAAAATATATAATTGTTTGCCAACGTATGATAATTAAAATAAAGACATACAATTGATGAAATAAAATGAAAAAAATAAATTAAATCTTCATACATCTACAAAATGTAACTTATAAAAATAATACATAAGTCATGATGGGACTTGTTCTGAGCAATGCAATGTCTCATTAAAGTCTTTATAAAATTATAAGAATTAAAAGTCAGGATTGTCAGGCCAACAAAAATCAGGATTTGAAACTATAAAAGTTAGAATCGAAATTAAACGAAATTGTAATGATATTGCCTAGGTATTTGGAGTTTTCTTCAGCTCATATCATTGGATTAAAAGAATGTCTTATTCAAACACTGCGAAAGCGACACGATTAATAGTAATATTTTAATCTTGAAATTAGACATATATTTTCTTTATTTTCAAAGTTTGTAAAACTCTTCTAAAAATAAAAAATAAATTGTATAACTTCCATTAAATTTTGCTAAAATTCACAATAAGCTTCCTAGCTTTTATTTGTTTTTGATAAACATCATTTATTTCTATTCATGAACAATTAATTTTCACAAGACAAAATAACAAAGTAAATTAATCTGAAAATCACGACCCAAAAAAAAAAAAAACATAACTCTCCAATCCTCTCATAGGTGGGGCCCCACTAGTTTATTTGACCTTTTTTTTTTTTTGGGAGGCCCCATTTACGTACGAAGTTTGAAGAGAGATCATCTCAGAGAGAGCATTCAGGAGGGAAGCCTTGAGGGAATCGCTTCGCATCAGCACAATAATTATATATCATATAATTCTTCTGCACCCATTTGATTCTTGCTTGCCCCGTCGAGTCCAGCGACTCCTTCAGCCACGACTGGTCGCCGCCGCCACCGCCGGTCTTAGCGTTGAAGCTTCTGAAAGAGGCGGTGAACGGAGCATGGGTCCAGTCAGTCTTCACAAGTCCTCCTCTGGTGGCCCAGTCCTCTGCGTCCCAAAGGCTTCCGTATATTTTCATTGCTTGGCTCTTTGGAAACGGAACCCCTTTTGATTCCATGTTCTTGAATTCCCTTATTGGTGTCCCATCCACTGAGAATCTGCATTTCTCAATCAAACACTTTGCTTTTTAGACTTATTCTCCAGCTCAATTTCTTTTATCACAGAATATATAGCAAGGAAGTATCACCATATCACCCTAATTTTTAGAATGCTGATATATATCATAAATAAATAAGATCAAGGTGTTGAATGCATGACAAAATAAAATAATGTGTTAGATGCATTATAAATGAAATCAAAGTGCTGGATGTAATTTTACTTTTATATTAATTAATGGTAATATGTTAAGTGAAATGACTTACTTAAATTATATCTCAAGTATAAATATTAAAATTTATTTTTTTAATGTTAAGAAAGCTTTAACTCTCGTTTAGGATCAACTGATCAACCCAATTCAAAATACTGGGTAACATTAAATTTCGGTCATCTGAGGTGTGGTTAACTTGTAGAATTATGATTAACTTTAGTCAAAGTTTCTAGAGATAACAAGTCAAAGATGTGACAATGATATATAACATTGATATATATATATATTATTGTCAACAATATTTAGTAACAGTAATAGGAATTTGATCAGAACTAATCATAACTCTCTTATGAGTAAAACATTATGTTTTTCCTAAAATAAATAAGTAATCGAAATTTTTTTATATATGGTGGGATGGTTGCAACCGTAGCCAAAGTAATTTTTGAGTGCTTAGAAGGAATAAAGTTAAAGTGCAAAAATAGATGCAACACTACCTAACTCCATTGCAAGCTTTGTATAATTATATGTGTATGAAGCTTTAGTTAGTTAATTATCATCAAACAACTTGAATTGCAAGTGAGAATAAAAGCTTTTATTGTGAGTCTCATTTCTAGAATTAAAAAGATCAGAACTTTGCACATATATATAATTAAAGCAGAATAAAGATGAAGAAATATATGTATATATACGTACATGATGGTTTGAGGATTCCAAAGAATAGAATAAGTGTGAAAGTCCTTGGTGGGATCAAACCACAGATAAAACTGCTGCTCTTTGTTACCTTTTCCCTGTGTAAATATGTTGGTATGAAGAATATATGGATCGCCACTCAAATTCCCCAGAAACTCGTAGTCTATTTCATCATGAGCTGACCCCTCTGAACTTAGCTGCACATATGTATATCCATCATCACAATCAAATTATATCTCACACATATATATACTGTAAAAAGAGAATTAAGAAGATTATATATATATATATATATATATATATATTAAGCGTTACATAGTATGTGGTGACGGTGCCGGCGGAGTTGCCGGGGACGAGCTTGAGCTGCATGTCGATCTTTGCGAAGAGGTATTGGTTAGCGGAGCGGAAGCCGGAGCCGGAGTACTTGTCAAGGGAGAGGGTGAGCAGACGGCCGCCGTCGAGGATTTTGGCGCGGCCATCGCCCCAGGTGATTTGGAAGTCCTGGTTTAAGTTGCCGGCGGAGGCAAGGACGACGACGAAGCTGAGGAAACCAATGAGGATGATGTTGTTGTTGGTCATTTTCGGAGAGAGAATCAGAGAAAGAGAAAAAAAGAAGAAGCCAAATATAAATGTTTGGAATTCTTTGGATTGGCCAAGTGTGTAGTGGATATGCAGGGTCGTGAAGTTGTGCGTCTATATATATAGAGAGAGGAGGGAGATGGCTGAGAAAGACGGGAGATTCCAAAGTAGGTGAAGGCTGCGTTTTATAAAACATAATTTTTTTTAGAAGTGTTTATAACAAACAACTCAATAAGGTCATCCCATTGGACATTTTAGTAATTACTCCCTCCAACCCTTTTTATAAACAGTCTTAGACTTAATCATGTAGATTAAAAAGTTAGGTTAAATTGGTTAAAAACAATAAATATATAAAATTAAAAACTCTTTCTCCAAACTACCTTTATTTATAGGAGAGAAAGTATAAGAAAGAGAATAAAAAAATTATAATAAAAAGAATTATTTTAAAAAAAAAAGTGTGGTGGAGAGAGATGATAGTTGGGAAATGAGATATTAAATATGTTGAATATTAAAATAAGTAATTAATAGGAAAAAAAATAAGAAATTTGTTGTAAAAATTTAAAACAGCTTACAAATTTTACTTATATTTAAAGATAAGAGGAGAATATTAGTTGTTGTTTATAAAAAAGATCAAAGGCAGTAACAATTTATATGAGAATTTGGTTGTTAATAGAATATAATAAACACGATCTATGTAGCAGAACTCACCTATTGAGATAAAACTAATTGTTGTCTTATTGTTTATGATAGCAAACAACTTATGCAATGAAATAATATAGGGAGGATTACTATGAAATTCTAAGTAAGAAACATAATGATTAAAATTTCTAACGACAACATGACAGTGACAAATTTTAGGATATAAATGTAACTGTTTACTTGTCATTGAGACTTATTGATAGTTATTTTCTTTACTACAAATTTCATTATAATTTTCTCAATATTATTTCATTAACTGCTTGCAACTTCATAGCAATTCTCCCAAATTTTTATTTAAAAAGGTAAACCGATAGGTTAAATTAAATTGGTCGGTGTTTTATAGTCATGTAGGGGTGGTTACGTTTTAATTAACATTAAATTGGGAGAAAGTAAAAAAGGGGGAAAGAAGGAAATGATGGATTGGCGTTAGAAGAAGAGTGGTTGAAAGTAGAGACGCGTAGAAAGGATAAGAGAACAAGTTGGGTTGACTTCTCCCCCTCCCTTCCAAGCCACGGTTCAAGAGTTGGCTACCTCTCTTCTTCCTCATGGATGCCAGCAGCTAGTGTAATGTTCATGACCCATCTTTGTGGTCACCCCTTGGTTTTTTTTCTTGGCTTCAATAAATCATCTTATACTCGTCACCATCATTCCTATGTGGCTTTTTAATATAAGTTTCAAATAACTAATTTGAAATAATAAAAATTATATAAAAATAATAAATATGTTAGAAATATATTTTTGTTTTTAAATATGTCCCTATAATAAATGAGAAAAGAGATGAAAAAGAATGTGTAGAAAAATGTGATAAAAAAGATTATAGTAAAGGAAAGAGAATAAATAATTAAGGGCAGAAATTAAAAAAAAAAGAATTAAATGTTAAGACAAATACAAATAAAACTTATAAAATGAATCCTACCCTTTCCCAAATTTGAAGCTTATAAATAGGATCAGAGAAAATATTTATTTATAAGGTAGATAAAAAATTTTTATTGTAAGCTATATATATCATTGAATTTTTCACGTGAATATACTATTTTCTCCATTATTTATTATTGTATATAAAACTAAATTAAATAGAAATAAATTTAAAACATTATTAAAATATAAGACAGAGTTAATAAGATTTAATGTTTTTTTTTATTATATGATCAAACATGCTGAGAAAGACTTATAAATAAAACATTCTTACCCCTGTTTTATGCTCCCTCTTATCTCTCTTATAAGGCCCCTTCTAAAAGATATTTTAGTTCTTTTTATAAGCCCATTTGGTAGTTTCAATAATTATTAAATAATTTTTTCATATATGTTCATATTTAATAAGAGTAATGACCAGTGAGAAAGCAGAAATTAATATGGTTCTAGAATTTATTAGTGTTAATAAGCAAAATATTAAAAATATTACTTAACTTTTATGACAAATTTAATAATTTTAACTATTTTTATTGACAAGTGTTAATTAATTAGAAATTGTTTATTATAAGGACAAGAGAGATTATATACTCTATAGTTCTAATGAATAATAAATGAATGATTGAATTGTATACTGATACGGAAAAAAATGTAATTTATAAATAGAATAAAAAAAAAAAACTCTCCCATATCGACTAATTTCAGCTTGAGTAAATAGCAAAAAGTTCTAATATAGTTCGCTTGCTTCTGTCAAAGCCACATTTTTGATGGTATAGTTTTTACTTTTTAACCTGAAGAAATCAATATAATAATTCATGCATTATTCCGAATAAGAATTAACCAATTAGTCATCATTGAATTTATTTAATTGGATCATACATTGTATTATATTGTTCCGTAAAAGTTCTTTTAAACCCATAAGAAACTAGTTGAATTTGACGTTGATGTTTTTTTTTAAAAAGAATTTTTTTTTGGGTATGAGAAAAACTATATTGAAATAAATTAAATATCAAAGGAATTAAAAAAGAATAAAAAAATAAAAGGCATGTATTTGGCCAATTTTGGTATTTGTCTCTATCAAGTTACATATATGAAAAATCATCTCTATTATGGGTTGTTCCTTAAAATTAAAGCTATTCGTTCCTTTAAAATATATTAATTTGTTCTCATAGTACAATTTAAAGCTGGCAAAAAACATTTAAAAGCCTTAAAAGTTAAATACTCTTAATAAAAGCCTAGTCATGGTTTATTTTCATTTCCAATTCCAATTGAAAACATCCACCTCAAACATCTTATTTAAAGTATAACTTGATTAATTAATTAGTTTAATAAAAGTAAATCAATTATTATTACTATAATTTCATTCAATTTAAAAGTAAAACCCCAAGTCAATCACTCCTAAGTAAGTAGTTATACTAATAATGATTAAGCTTCGCATCAGGTGATCGATTGGTTCACCTGTCAATATTGATCATCAATAAGCCCTTGTTCCCATTAGCATCTCTCTAACTACTCAAACTCGGTTTTATTAATTATGATACTAATATTAATAATAATAACAACAATAATTATTAAGTTGGCTAACAGAATAGTAATCATTAATAAAAACAAAGATCGACATGAATGGTTCCACTCAAAACTTGAATTCGAACCATTTGTCTGTCTCTCAAGATGCATGTATGTGTAAGCGTATTCAAAAGATTATTTTGAAAACAAGGCAAAGGCATCCATAGCTTTCAACATAATTTTCTAAATATTCTTGTTAATCAATAAATATGTGAACCATATAAAAATAGGCCAGTTGTTACCTTTACAGATTCTCATTAAAAAAAAAAAAGGGACTGTCATAATCACCCAAAAATTCTAAAGGGAAAGAAAGACGCGTTTTATTTGAGACACATTAATTTTTATAATAGGAGAGAAACACTAAAGCTATATAATATATATATATATATATAGACTCCAAAAGATAATGTTTATTTTAATCCATGTAAATTTAATATTCGACTGATGTGTGTATATGCATACAACTCATTGAACTTTTTTTTTTTTTTTGGGAAGTGGTGACACAAAAAAATCTCTAAAATGGTTTGGAGGTTATATATAGATATTTGAAAATGAGAAAGGTTCAAAGATGACGTATGTATTTAGACAGAGGAATATGAAATAACGTAGATGCAATAATAAGTATAAAAGGAATCAAATATGTTTGGAGTTTATATATAAGAGAGAGTTGAAACAAAATTAGTTGTTAAATGGAAGCTAGCTAGCTTCCATTAATAGGGTCATACAATGGTCAAAAGTTGCTTTCATGCAAGCTGGTGATGAACAAGAAAATATATATTATCTCTCTCTCTCTCTCTCACTATATATGTGTGTGTGTGTGTGTGAGAGAGAGAGAGAGAGAAGGAAACGTCATCGTTTTGCATGCTTTTCTTTGACCGTTTCCTTGCTCTTGGATGACGCTCCTTTTTGTTTCTTTCTTGTGGGACAAGCAACTACTCATCACACCATATCACCAACCTATCTAATCTAGTTTATGATTTTGGAGTTTATTCTTGGAGTTTACCTAAACACATAATAAGAGGTAACTAAGAATTGAAACACATAATATAAAATTTGCTGAGAATTAATAAGAGGTCATTGATAATCGAAAATGTAAAACATCTATATAATATTAAAAAAATTAAAGAAAATAACTTAAGTCAAGTTTCTTATATCAATTATATGCAGTTTTTTAATTACATATGACTACATGTCCCTTTTTTATGTGTATTTATAATTAAATACTAATATTAAAAAAAAGGACATATGGTCATGTGTGATTGGAAAACATGACGGAATAGACCTAAAAACCTTAACATAAATATTGTTCAAATTTAAAACAGGTTTATAGTCCCTGTCATTTATTTATCTCTCTCTACTATAGCCTTAGGTTAAAGACTCTTCCAATCCATTATGGGGGAGATCACTGAGAAGTTGGATTGATTGTAAATATAAGAACTCAATTCATTTTATTTTTCATAATTGCTATATAATTTAATTTAATATAGGGACTTGTTAGATATTTGTTGTCCTCGAATGATCAAGCAAGTGGTTCTCATCACTCTGTCTTCCTTCTTCCTGACGATAAGATCAATTCCACTTCACCAGCCAATCATACACTTAATTATTTTCCCGTTTTGTTTGACCAGTGGGAAAATTTCATCTTTTTCTCCCACAAACCACAATTCATCATCTCTATCAAGTAACTATATATGTATGTTCGTCTTTATCATTAAGAAAATTCAAATTCTCGGGGCATCAATAACCACAAACTCTCACAGGATTAATTAACCCCATTAAAGGTCTAATTAAGATGAGCTTGAATATATATATATGTGTGTGTGTATATATATATGCACACTACTCTGGTTCTTGATGTAAGACACAATTAATTTGAAAATATTAAGAAAGCTAAATAATGACTTAATTATAACATATATTATATAAT